ATTGCCGTGTAAGACCACAAAATAACCTACCTGTTGAAGAATATCAAAGCGACATGTTCTTTGGTCGAACAACAAAACAACATAATTGAGCACAAAGAAAATTTTCCCCTGTTTTTCGCGACCTGTTGCGAGCTCTTGAATTAAGTAAGTTAATTACGAAACTGCAGCAAATTACTGAGCACTTCTCAGTTAATTCTATAGCGTCTCTCCCCTGAGGAGAATTTTAACATACTCGAATGTAACTTGTGTAATACTCAAACTCAAAACACATTACTTTCGAAGTTAAATGGGGTATTGCACATCGTTAAATCTTTAACCGTTAACTTTAGTAAGGCATTGCAACATAATACTTATTTTACAAATTTATAGAGCGAATTTGGTAAGATGCTCAAGAAAAAGTTGGCCTCGATTTAAATATATTTACCCGATTTGTCAACTCATGTCACAGTGTGATGAATGCAGCGATAGTGCCCTCAGATCGTTGCGATGTAAAGCTGTGATTGGACAAATGTCGAAGGAAGTAATAGAAATAGAAATAGAAATAGAAATAGAATACATTTATTACAAAACACCACAACACAATAATAAACAGTAAAAAATTAAAAGTAAAAAAAAAAAAATTAAAATAAAACAGAACTAAATTAAACTTAAAACAAACTAAATTAAAACAAACAGAAAATGAATAACAAAAAAGAAAACTAAATAAAATTAATTAAAAATAAAATTTTGGCAATAAATAATTATTCGATCATAAAACTGGTCAACACTATTGCTGTACGAAGTAGATGTTATGTGTGCGGCTGTGGCGTATGTAATAGGATCCACTCAGCTAATGTCACCGCCGGGACAAGGCTGTGACGCTGATTTTCAGTGGACCCTAAAACCGAGTGAGTACCGGACGTGTGTGTCGCGTTTAAACTAAAATAAATTACGTATATATTTCTATAATGTAGTATGGTGTGTTCTCTTATATTTATAAAATACTTAAATAATTCATTTGATACATATATGCAGTGATAAGCATATGCAATGCAATGTCTATTATTTACAACAAACAAAAATGGGACTTATTTAGTTATAAAAGATATCAATTGCGAGATTTGTGTCACGTGGGCGACGCAAGACGAGCGGGTAGGCGCGCGAGAGGGGTCCCCGGCTCACGAGCCACAAAGCGCGGCAACTCCGTCCAGCTCCGTTGTAAGCAAACAGGTTTCGTCCTGTATCGTAGGTACTTACCACGCATAATAGCGTGCAGTCTCCTATGCCATAAAAGGTATGTACCAATATTTAAAACTTCTGCCGATTGCAGATTATCATAAATAATTTTAATTGTATAATGAATTGTATATTAATTATGAAATATAAAAAATTAAATAAGAATTGTGTCATATGTCAAATAGTAATAATCAGTAAAATTTTTCAGGAACAAAATAAACAACCGAAAATATTAGCGTAAAAATGCCATTCGCACTTGCCCCATCCCGCACGCAGAACATTGATGACGATGACCGCCGCACACCAATGCCATAAGTCGAAAACAGAACGGTGAGTGCCCACGTTAACTTATACGGTATTTTTTTGAATATCTAACAGATATTGTTTGTATTTTCTTTTAAACGTGTGCACCGTTTGTAGACTACGGAGTGGCGGCGGCAGCAAAACATTCCATATTTTCGCTGCGGCGAATTTGAAACTGCCACGGAATGCGGCGGTGCGACAGCGCGGCAGGACTAGCGACCAAGCTGACGCTCTGGTGAAAGCTGTCTTTACATCCCGGGACCATATCAACTCGTCAGCCAAATAAGACGGGATTCTGTATTTTATAACCCCAAACAGAACTGTAGCTAAGTGTAGATCTCTTCGCATTTTCATTTTCAAAATATTTGCGTTGTTTATGTAAGGGGTTACGTGCGTGCGTGGTGGTATATCAAAGCAAAACCTTGCGCAGGCGTTCTGCACTCGCTGAATTACTTGTTCCGTGCGCTTCAACAGTCGCGGCCCATACACCACGTCCATATAATTAAATTTTGACAGAACTAGTGAGTCACACAACTTAATGCGAATGTCGGTATTAAGGTAATTTCTGATGTTATATAATACCTTTAACCTATAGAAACAATTTTTGACGATGCCTAACACATGATTCTCAAAGTGAAGTGTTTCATCCATAAGGAGTCCAAGATTCCGAGCCTCAGTTACTCGCTCAATGTTCACGCCCCTGATCGCCAAAGTAACGTTACGACTATTAATTTTCGCTATTTGATTTTTTGTACCCAGCACCATATATTTTGATTTACAGCCATTTAGCACTAATGAATTTGAATCTGACCAGGAGGCTATACGTTCTAGATCCTCGTTTAACTTATCCACGGCTTCAGGAGTATCACATGGTTTACAAGATATATAAATCTGTATATCATCAGCGTAAATATGATACTTGCAGAATTTTATTTGATCTATGACATCCGCGCTGTAGATTATAAAGAGAATAGGGCCCAAAATTGAACCTTGTGGTACTCCGCGCGTAACGTCACGTGTTTTTGATTGTAATTTAGAACCACTAAGATCAGAAATTTCAACACACTGAGACCGATTTTTCAGATAACTGTCAAACCATTTGATGGTGGAGTCAGCAAATCCGTAATAATGCAGTTTAGCTAGTAGTAGGCTAACATTAATGCAGTCAAAGGCTCTAGAGAAATCCAGCAGTGTTAACAAGGTGCCCTGTCCATTGTCTTGTGCAGATAGGATATCATCAACTACTTTAATCATAGCAGTTGTCGTGCTATGTTTCTTACGAAATCCAGATTGTACGTTAGGAAGAACTTCGTGACTTTCTAGAAAGTTTGTTACTTGTTTTGCTACAATTGTCTCAAGGACCTTCGATACACAAGACAGTATGCTTATGGGCCGAATATCTGTCAAGTTGGAAGGGTTATTAATTTTAGGAATAGGCCTTATGACTGCATGCTGCCAGTCCACTGGGAACGTGTTGGTTTCAATAGATCTGTTCACCATAGCTGTAACAACAGGCAGTATGACAGGTAACGACAACAGCAACATGTCCAGTGATATCCCGTCGAGACCAACCGCGTTTGACTTTAATGATCGCATGATTTGCAGAATCTCATTGTCTTCTACTGTTGTTAGTGATAATTTTGTGTTTATCTTACTATTTTGCTGAAAATATGTTATATCTGATAGTAATGGCTGTTGACTACCGGGCACATTCAAAAAGTGGTCGTTTATTAAATTAGGATCGTTAAAAATATGTGTAGGTAGCTCTGGTTTACTTTTTATGTTAACATTTTTTTTTATATGTGCCCATAATACTCGAGAATCTTTCTGCTTATTTACGTAATGATTGTAGTAAGCCTTTTTTTCACTTATCAACACATCATTAACAACTTTTTTGAGGTCCTTATAGTAAGATTTTTGCGAGTCATTGCCACTGTGTCGTGCCGCAGCATGTGCTTCGTCACGGCGCTTTACAAGTTGTTTCACATTGTAGGTAATCCACGGGTACTGGCGCTGTTTGGCATGTAATATCCGAAGGGGAGCATGTACATCGAACAAACCCACCAAACATTCACTGAATTGCCTCACCATATCATTGACATCCTCTAAGTGGGTTATTCTCATCCAGTCTATGGTAGACAGATCCACATCGAACCGTTCGTAGTCGATAGTGTGAAGATTTCTGCGAGTTATCCGTACTGGTGTTTGTTTTGCCTTCACGATGTTTAATGTGCAGGTGATAAACGCATGTCGACTCAGCTCAGGTATATAATCAACTACTACCACAGTATTGTCTATGTCGGTGCTTATGGTGTCAATAAGTGTTTCACTGTACTCAGTGAAATGCGTTGGTGTAGTTACATACTGGTGCAATGTGTGGCTCGTCAGAAAATCTGTTAACTTTTTGGTGCTGCTATCCGTTATACTCAGGAGATTAATATTAAAGTCTCCCAACAATACCACATTATTGCACCACGAAAAACAGCTCAAACTCTCAGCTAAAGCATCTACAAACGTATCTACGTTAAGCCAGGGCGGTCTGTATGCAGTACCTACCAGTAACTTTTTTCCATTGACATTTACGCACAGCCACATTTGCTCAACGAGCGGAGCCGGTGGATGAGGTAGTGTACGGACAACAACGCCCCGTCGTATGTAAAACCCAACCCCACCGCCGCGCGAGCGCACAGCGGGCGGTCGGGGAATATGACGCAATCGGTAGCCAGTTACCGACGGCGCGCGGCCCTCTTCACCGTCCCTTAACCACGTTTCATTTATTGCCATGATATCTACGTCGTGTCGGTCCATGGCAACTATAAATTCATCGTGGCGTGTACCTAACGAACCCACGTTTAATAAACCCAACTTAAATTTACGTTTTAAATTGAATACGAATAATTAGAATAAACATTTGAGATAACTAATTTGTAGGCGATAAAAATAAAATAATAAGTGATTCCCATAGTGATTGACAAATGATAACATATTGATGAGATGACTAATAAGTCCTTTCCGTTGTGCAATAGTGTGTGTAAGTCCATTTTGCATATGTTGGAGTTTTGTTGTGTATATTTATATATGTAGTTAGTGTGTATTGCATGTTGACAATTGTGTTTGTTATAATGCTGTAGATAATGTATATTTATAATAATATGTAATGTTTGTGTGTATTTAGATTTGTAGTTAGCTGAATTAATAAATACATGAGAGTATAAAAATAAAGTATAAAAATAATAAAAAAGTAAATTAGTTGTATATATGTAAATAAGTCTAAAATATTTTGCAATTATTGTACAGCCACACACATGACTACGCACCATAGGTAATAGTAATAACAGACCTTCAATAATATAAAAAATTAAGATGTGTGCATAGATTATAGTTATTATTGTAGTCCAGTTTCTGGTGGGGGGGGACAAACGCCATCGGGACCAAAAATTTTCACCAAATCGGATTCACATCGTATTCGATGAGCGGGGGCTCCGGCTTCCCTCCTTACGTAAATCCGGCCATCCCTGGTCCAAACATACTTCCACTGCAAACGACCTGCAGTTTGCCTGACAAGATAAAAAAGGCGCCGGTTTATCGACGTTAGACGCTCGTTGATATAGAAGGGCCGGGGTTCAGACTTCAAACCCAGGTCCTCAGTGGTGAGATGACGACGTACGCGCGCCCCACGCAGCAAGACATCACGCGTGTCGCGACGGGTCAGCCGCAAGGCAAGTGGCCGCGGCCGCGCGCCCACCTCGCGCCGCGGGGCTCCCGTGCGCGCGCAGCTCACCACCTCACGCTCGTCCAGCTGCATGCCGAGCTTAGCGGCACAGGCCAGCGCAATGTGGATGGGGTTCTCCCCATTTTCCTCCGGCACGCCGCTGAGCTCCACCTCGTTCAGGAGCAGCACCTGGTCGCGATCGTTTAGATCATGCTGCAGTCTCTCCACGTTCGCTTCCAGGGCCTGGATCACTTTAACGAAACAGGAGTCGGTCCCACCACCACTCGCCCTCTCCGTCATCATTATTTGCACCGTCTCCTCAACCCTGTCCAGACGATTCTCGCAGGAGCGCACTGTCGACCTTAACTCAAAAAGGTCCTGACGCAAGCCTTTTAGCTCCTCTCTAGTCTGACTCATTTCGAGACGGAACGCTCGGAGCTCGTATGCGAGACTCGTTTCCTCTGAATCTCCTCCAGTCTCGCATAACCGCTTTGAGTCTGGGTTCTTGGCTTTCGGAGAGCTGTTACGAACATCATGCGTTTTTATAGGAGTATTATCCTGATTGCTCCTAGGCAGCCTGGATTTACAGTCCGGGCAGGCCCACGATGACGGCACAGTGTCATTTTTACGCACTCCTACACATTCTTTATGATATTGTTTTTTGCATATGGGGCATGCGACGTTTGCGCCCTCTACCGTTGACATGAATTTGCAACACGCACTGCACTTAACCACCATATCGAACGCAGATAAAAAAAGTAGGGTCACCAAAAAGCGCAATGAATTTCCGCAAGGGGTCGCTGGGCACACTCTGATTTAGTTATTAATTGTATTTGGCGGTGTATAAAGTTTTTTTGTTTTTATTGTACCTTATGAAGTTATGAATTTAGTAAATAGTGAATATTACCGAAATGAAAAGTGATTTTAATGTTGTATATCTCTTGACTTTTTACACACCCGTATTATAGTAACGTCACCGAAACTGTCACGGTTCTTTATTTAAAGGTGTTACTTGTGAATAATACTATTTACTATTTTTATTGTTTAAAAAAGCGAGCGACACTCAAATACGTAAGTAGCCACACAGACGTCCGTGACGTCACTCACGTACTGCCACCGCACCTATTTCTGCTGCCAAGCAGTAATGTCAGTATTACCGTGTTCCGGTTTTGAAGGGTGCTGGTGAAATTACAGGCACATGGGACTTGTCAACTTATGTCTCAGGGTGACGGGCGTAGCGGCAGTACCGTTCAAATCTTTGCAATTTAAAGTTTTTAAAGGCACTGCAACTGCTATGGTCAGGCGTGTCGCTTACCGCCAGGTGTATGTCTTATTCGCCCCGTCACTTGGTATCGTAAAAACAATATACAGTCAAGATGTCTGCTCGTTTTTTCAGCATAGTATCTACGTGCGTTTGTTTTTTTAAATTCTGTTTTACATTGTGCCATATTTAGAAAAATAAATATTGTGCAGAACATCTTCGGTTCCGGCTTTTTAGTAAACATATTTGTATCATTTCCTTGCATTTTTCGTTTGTTGAGAAAAGCTTTAATTTGTACCAACTAAGCCATGGAACGAACCAGCGGACCTCACGAATTTTTCTATATGCTTGTTGTGGTGTCTTTGTATTTGGTTTTTCAACGAATTTTTAGTCGTAGCGCCATTTATGAGAAATATATGAAAGTTTTATCACCCAGTTAGATACCTTTGCAGCTACCAGCCGTGGCGAGAGATGTCGCTATTCGTTGTATTTTAATTTTTAATTGAATTGGTATGGCGTCTGGCACGGTATGCTAGGAGACGTCAGTTCGTACCGACCGGATCGAAGGAATTTTTTCTGAGTGTTCGATCTTTGTACTAATAATTATAACAAACTAGTGGAGTAATTTCACAATAAATAATTGAATATCAATTCAATAAAAATTTAAAAAAGCTTCCATTGTCAACATTGCTAATTGACTCGTTCAATTCATACTCGTCCATCAATTGTTAGTTGCTTGCTAGTTCGTGTAGCTTAAAAATAATGTACAGTACAATTGTAAATTTAAAATCTATACTAATTTGAATTTTGAACAACGTACTTTATTGTTGTTTTGTTTTGATTTACGTGTGAACTATATACATATAGAGTTGTAAAACTATTTCCCTATTTTTAATAACATTTACTCCATGTCAATAAGGTCGTTAACAAAAATGTAATAAATAAAGTGTGCTTCTTTTCTACAACTATAAAATAAATTTTATCTACCCACATATCATTAACTCTCTATAATGTGTTAAAAAACCGCAAATTACGACCAGCATAAAGGTAAACTGTGTTGTGAGAATAAATTTATTAAATTCGATTTTATCTATGACATTCAAATGTCGAACATTTCTGAAAAACAAAACAATTTGATTCGACCTCTGTTCTAGTATCAGTCGAGATGAAGTTTTATTCGAAATGAAATTTTGACAAATTTCACACGTTGCTTAATATCGAACGATATGATAGTTAGGG